GGTATGGACATCCTTTTAACATATTGGTATTTATTGAGTATTAAGGCTTAAAGAAAAAGGAAGTATAATACTTACCAAAAAATAAGAATGTCCCCGTATGGATTAACCGTAATTAAAATCTAACTGAACAAAAATGCCACACTTCCACAACGCGGTATCTCCGGATATGCACTGCGTAGGTAGATAGGTACCAACCAAACATTTTAAAGCGCATTTCGGTTATTACCAGTTTTTTCAGTCTATTTTGCCACTATTGGTGTAATTTAACTTTAATTGTGATACAATGTGCACTAGTAGTGTAAAGAAAAAAGAGCTCTTAGTAACATCAAAACAGACAAAAAAATTGGCATGCACTGTAGTGTACATTTTGTCACTATTTAACACATTAAGGGGTAATAAGCACTCGCATTAAGTTTTTCTACCCTTTTGATTTATTTTAATAATAAATAGTGTGAATGTACCAATGAATAATGTTCATATTCTTTAAATGTGTTTAATATCATATTTACTATAAATTAAAAGTTATTTTTTTATTATGGGATTTATCTTCTTTTATTAGAATCAATAAAACCCGACTTGATTATTCTACCCACATAATATATTTCCAAACAAATATAATTTAATACCTAATTTCGCAATTAATAAAAAGAACCGATAATTTTTGCAAACCTTGATAAGTCAGTCGAGTTTCGTCTTAATTTAAAATGTCTATGACCATGACCCTCTGTTATATTACATATTGTCGCAGTGATAACTTTTGTTTTACTTTTAAAATTAAGATTAATAAATTCGAAAATTTCGACTACAAATCGAGCAGACATTTTGGCAACGTTGAGTTTAAATTGGGAGACGTTTTGTAATAATAACATAAAAAAAATGTGTTGGCAACAGGCGCGAATATCAATTCGTCGTTGCATTTTTGTTTTGTGGGTTTTTGTTTTCCGCGTTTAAAAATAACAAAATTTGAGAGAACGGATCAAATTTTGTCTGGAATTAATAATGAACACTACAAACATATTTATATTTATTAACATATGGGTGATTCTACAAAAGTTGGACAACTTGATGTCATCAGTCAATAGAGTAGGTATTTTAATATTTTTTGTAAATATTTTAGTATATTACAAAAGATCCAGGTTTTTTTAACTTGTCCAACCAATTTTAATGAATTTTATCAAAAGCACGTTTGTAGAAAAACATAATAAATATTCAAAACATCAGTACCTTGGCGTGTCACAACTCCTGAATCAAATATTTGAGTGATTTTATTTTAAAATATATTCAATTTATCTTAAATTTTTCAATTTCAATACAAACTATAAAACATTAAATAATGTATTTTTCATATTTTATCATAGATTCGAATAATAGCAATTTTTAAAAAATTGATAATCTTTGTACTCACTTTTACCCGTAAGTTCTGTGTCCAATGTTAAAATTCAAAATTCCTGCGAAATATTGAAGTTTAAAGTCCTCGTTTTAACTCAAGTGTTGGTAAAAAATTACCTACAGAGCCCGCCCTTTGCACTGACAGTCATCTTGAAAACAATGCGAGCGGCGAAGTTGTGGTAAATGCACGTATAGTTCCAGTCAAAATTTCAGTACTGTGGTGAGTAGGTATTTTCTTACGTATACAGGGTGGTCCAGGTTAAAGTAGCAATAATTCACCATTCGATAGCCCATCGAAAAATAAGTCGACATGCATGCTAATTTTTTTCTCCAAAACCCCTCCTAAGGAGATACAGCCCTTCAAAGTTGAGTTTGAAAAAAAAATTTTTTGCCATAACTTTCAGGAAATAAAAGCGTTTTTGACCAAATTTGGTACAAGTACGTCAGGTACTCGTTACCTGACGTAAGTAACTTTTGTCAAAATTGTCTAGTGACGTAGATACAGGGGGGTTGTTTCACTTTTTCCACCCCATTTTTTACGCCACTGGATATTTGTTTAAATTGACCTATTTTTCTAATTCCTTGTTCAATTTTGAGAAAAAAAGCCACTCTTGTTAAATTTTGATTTAAGGCTTTGTTTACGAGATAATTGAGTTTAAAAAAACATACAGTACTGCAAAGTTCAGTTTTAAATATCTTTTTTTTGTCATAACTCTAACTCTAAGATCGCTAAAGCGTTTTTTACCAACTTTGATACATGTACTTAGTAAATAGATAGTATCTATCTATTAGATATTCGTTACTTGACGCAAGTAACTTTTGTAAAAATTGTCCATTGGCGATACAGGGGTTGTTTTACTTTTTCCGCTCAGGATTTCACTGATGTGATTGTGTCACCAATAGGTTGTGTACATTCTCAAAGACCTTGCGATGTGGCTGTCGTTTATTGGGAAAACGCCTTTGATATTCTTGAACTGCTTGCAACGCGTTCCCATCACAAAATCCATAAATGAAGTGAATATCGGCGTATTCTTGGTTCGTGAATCGAAAAGGCATATTTATGATTACAGTATACTTGTATTAACTCTAAAATATATTAACAGACTGTAAAAATTAATAGAAAACCTTTATTAACACTCTGACAGCTATTTCAGTTGTTTAAGACTGACAGTTCATACTAGAGTGGGGCCGCCCTAATTTTATTGGATAAAGCGCATCAGGCCACTTGATAATTTTAAATAAAAATACGTCAAGTGTTGATTTTAAATTCCTATACCAAATTTAATCAAATATTCTTAAACGATACGAGAGTTATAACAAAAAGATAAATCTTAAAATTGAATTTTGAAGGGCTTTAGGGGAAGTTTTGAAGAAAATAAAACAATGCATGTCGAGTTAATTTTCATTGAAATCCATGGGCGGAAAAAGTGAAACAACCCCTGTATGTACGCCAATGGACAATTTTGACAAAAGTTACTTGGGTCAAGTAACGAGTATCTACTTCATAAGTACTTGTATCAAAGTTGGTGAAAAACGCTTTAGCGATCTTAGAGTTAGAGTTATGACAAAAAATAGTATATTACACTACAAGGGCAGAAAGTGTGAGATTCCTGCACTGCGCGCCATGATCGTGGCGCGCAGTTCAGGGCTCTCACACTTTCTGCCCGTGTAGTGTATACTATTTTTCTTGCTACCCCGCAGAAAATACGGGAAAAAATTAAATGTATATAAAAAAACTTGTGTCAAAATTAAAATCTGACGTTTAATTTAATTCTGACGTTTACATTCAAAATCAATCAAACTGTAGCGTTGTCATGGTAATTCAGCGGTGCCAATACAGTAAAAATAAAAGGTTGTATTTTAATTAACAAATTACTACTTTATAACAAATAAAAGTACCATTAAACACTTAAAACAACATAAAAAGTAAGAAAGTAAAAACATAAATTGTTTATTTGTTGTTATAATTGCAAAATTATGGTTTAAAACTGTCATATTTTTGTGTTTCTCATGTTGGCAGTACGAAATTTGAATGTTAAGCACACGACTAAAAAATTTTTACTCCCGCTATTAGAGTGTGCGCGTATAGCTTGACCAATGCAAGAAACGTAAACTTTCTGCCGTGAAATCGGGGACGAAACAACGTATTTTGAGTCGAGGTAGTAAGAAAAAGATATTTAAAACTGAACTTTGTAGGACTGTATGTTTTTTTTTTCAATTATCTCGTAAACAAAGCCTTAAATCAAAATTTAACAAGAGTGGCTTTTTTTCTCAAAATTGAACAAGGAATTAGAAAAATAGGTCAATTTAAACCAATATCCAGTGGCGTAAAAAATGGGGCGGAAAAAGTGAAACAACCCCCCTGTATCTACGTCACTGGACAATTTTGACAAAAGTTACTTACGTCAGGTAACAAGTACCTATTTCATAAGTACTTGTACCAAATTTGGTCAAAAACGCTTTTATTTCCTGAGAGTTATGACAAAAAAAAGATTTTTAAAACTCAACTTTGAAGGGCTGTATCTCCCTTAGGAGGGGCTTTGGAGAAAAAAATTACCATGCATGTCGACTTATTTTTCGATGGACTATCGAATGGTAAATTATTGCTACTATATCCTGGACCACCCTGTATATATTTCATTGTAATTTATATTTTGCTATATGTGATTTGTTGATAAGTAGCATCCAGTAATAAAAAATATCAGTAAAATACTTAATTCCGAATTATAATCTCAAATTTGTATCCCATTCATCAGTACCGTGTCGTCAGTTCCATGTTCGATGTTTCGGTTATCTTTTTTTCACAAACTTCAATTTAAATTCTGCTTGCGCAGAACTTGTTTATTAATTGTCATTATAAACTCATATAAATTTGGTGTGGGTCCCATATCTAATAATTGAGATATCGGTATACCCAAAATCCACCAGCCGCCACTGATGTGTGGTATTATTTGATTTTAAGATATTTAATGTATAATATGCTCAAAGTTGCATAAATCTTATATTTTCCAATAAATTATGTATTTAATCAGTACCCTGGTATACTCGTCACTTCCCTTGCATTCAAATTTAGAAAATTTACTCAGATGAAATTAGAACAAGTTCACAGGTTAAACTTTAAACATTCAATTTGTGTAAATAAATCCTTAGTAAAGATATTTACAATTTGGGCCCATAACCTAAAATTTGAAAGAAATGCATTGGATTCTGTCATAAAAGTTGTTAGATTTTGTTTGCATTTACCTTCATTACAAAAATGACAAAATAAACAATTAATAAAAACGCTAAATTAACAAATTACATTGTTGATTTTGTCATTTTGGTAATTACGCTAAATTTAAACAAAATCTGGCAACTTTTTTTGACAGAATTTGAAAACGCTGGTTGTTACCAACCATAACATAATAAATTAAATTAGGCAACCAGATTAGCCTAAGGTTCCTAGTCGATCAGTGGCGTACTTTTTGGTAGGATAAAGGTTATTTTAAATTATTTTTAGTCTTTAGAATTTAGAAAAAACACCCTATATATTTGTATGCATCCTAATGAAAATCATAAAAAATATTAATAATAATTATTATTTTTATTATTATTATTTTATTTTTTTTCAGCTTTGGTTAATTGTCATTGTTGCGGGATGCCCGACAGTGCTGCTTGCTGAATTCAACTGTTTCTTTTTTGAAAAATGTTTAATTTCAAAATCGCGTATGAAAATTTTAGTTTTTCGAGTGGTCAATTTTTTATTTGTCGGCGTCTGGTGAGACATCGGGGGTCAAATAGATAGGAGATCGGCTTTTGAAGAAAAAAAATTCGGTAAGTAATTTTTAGGGTGTGTTTTTTTAACCCTGAACCCCCCTAAAAGTAAAAATCCATGGTTGTAGCTAATTTGGATATCATTTTAATGTTAGGTGCAAGGGTAAACTTATTCAGGCAAAATAATCGATCCACACAAATTTTCGATGAATTTCAATCGCAAATAACTTTTTTATTGATGTCGGATTTAAACGAATATTTAAGAATATTGTAGATAAATTAATGGACCATCGCTCACATTTTAAAAAATTACTAAAAAATAGACGTACGTTTATAATATACAGGTTTAAAACAAAAATATGTTTTTTACCATAAGTTTAAGACACTCTGTAGAGTGGCAAAACCGTATATTGTTCTAAATTAGGTTTTATTTATCAAGTCACATCTATTCTTAACAGTTTTGTTTTTGGTTCACCTCGATATATTTATTTTTGTGGAAAATATGGATTTTTTTAAAAAAACATTGCTATTTCCAATTTTTTCCTGTATGAAGAACTAAGGTTGCTATGGTCCATCCATAGCCTATGGAGGATGACAGTGACAGTTTTGTTGAATTATCCCATACTTGGACATGTCATATACAGCTTTCAAAAGCTATCAAATTGTTTTTTGTAAATTAATGTGTTAATTTTGAGGTGTCTTCTTACTTTTAAAAATGTCTCCGACTGATGTTGCCCTTTGTACTTTACTTCTTGTGACGTTTAAAACACTTGCCACGTAATACTGTGACCGTCCATCCTGGATTAAATTAATGGCTCTGGCAACATCAGTCGGAAACATATCCATTTTTTAAAGTAAGAAGACACCTCAAAATTTAAACATTAATTTGCAAAAAACAATTTGATGACATGTCCAAGTATGGGATGATTCAACAAAACTTTCACTGTCATTCTCCATAGCCTATGAATGGACCATAGCAGCCTTAGTTCTTCATACAGAAAAATATTGGAAATTGCAATGTTTTTTTTTTAAATCCATATTTTTCACAAAAATAAATATATCAAGGTGAACCAAAAACAAAACTGTTAAAAATAGATGTGACTTAATAATTAAAACTTAATTTAGAACTATATACGGTTTTGCCACTCTACAGAGTGTCTTAAACTTATGGTAAAAAACATCTTTTTGTTTAAACCTGTATATTATAAACGTACGTGTATTTTTTAGTAATTTTTAAAATGTGAGCGATTATCCATTAATGTATCTACAATATTCTTTAATATTTGTTTAAATCCGAAAACAAATAAAAAAGTTATTTGCGATTGAAATTCATCGAAAATTTGTGTGGATCGATTATTTTGCCTGTGAGTGTATCTTTAAGAACAGAATAGAGGGAATTTTCCAAAATTTGGTCTAATCGATTGTTAATCTTTAATTAAGAATAAGATTATTTGCTAAAGGGTAAGCATTTTGATTGGGATTATGACCTACATAATATGGTCTACATTATCTTCATTAGGTTTACTTTTCCACAGCCGGTTTGATTCAATAATCTAATAATAATACTGTTTTGGACTTATCTTCTCAAGTTATCGCCTGCGAAGTGTTTTAAAGTTTTAAAAATAAATTATTTTTTTAACGAAGTCTGGCAAATGTTTTATGCAATGTCGATATAAAATAAATATATGTAGCTAAATAAAAGCGCGTTAAATATAGAGCTAAAAAAATAAACTGACCTTTAAACTTGTATTGATTTAATATAATGCGAGCGAGTGTTTAATTAAATGTGTGTATAATAATTTTTTATTTTTTTTTAGTTTTCGTGCTCGATATAAAACAGTGTTGTTCGATAAAAATGAAGTGCGTGTCCACATTGTCCTGCATGGTGGTCACTTTTATGCTGACCATAATAGTTTTGGTATGGATTCAGTTCGGTGACAGCTCAAAATACGAAAAACAAAACCAAAATGAAAATATTTCGGCAGTACAATTCAAAGAACCAGACAAAGATGAAACCACCACCAAAAGACCGAAAGGTAGGAAAATAATGTTTAACCTTCCTAAAATCGCACAGTCTGTTGTTTATTTTGCATAAAAAATCAACATTTGATAAGAAAATAGCACATAAATTACAATAAATTTGGCAAATTTTTTTATTTTCTTTTCTAGTGGCAAAGTAAAGTAAATGATAATAAAATTTTTAAAAATAATAATTTTTTACGGTTATCTTAACGACCCAATAAAAATTACTTCCTTGACCCCAAAAAAATTGGCAAACTTTTATTTAACTATTAGTTTTACAACCTTTTCGCAAAGATCATTGGTGATATACGAGGTGTGTTCAGAAAATACCGGGAATTGTTAAATTTTGCGGGTCAAAGAAATTTGTATTCAATTTTGCTTAAAAAATTAAATAAATTCTGTGAAATGTTAACAAAGGCCTATATTGAGTCTGCTATAAGTAAAACAAGAGTTTACAAGTGGTATAAGAGTTTCCAAGATGGCCGTGAAGACTTTGAAGATGACGAACGCCCCGAACTCACGAGCACATTAACAACCGATAAAAACATGGAAAAAGTGGAAGAAATGGAAGTCGCTGATGATGTTGGTATATCGATTGGCTCATCTCATGAAATTTTTTCGAATTGTTTAATTTTGAACAAAATTTTTGTCCAAAAACAATACTGTAATGATGCCCCAGCCTCCATATTCTCCAGACATGCCTCTGTCTGAGTTTTTCCTATTCCCAAAAATAAAGAGAACCTTAAAGGGCCGTCGTTTTGCAAGCATATATGACATTAAAAGCGAATCGCTGAAAGAACTAAAGGCTATCTCAAAGATCGAGTTTTAGAAGTGTTTCGAGTATTGGAAGAAGAGCTGGCACATGTGCATAATATCCAATGGGGACTATTTTAAAGGCGACAACATTAATGTAGACGAATAAATAAATATTTAAAAAAAAAACGAAAATTCCCGTTATTTTCTGAACACACCTCGTAGCTATGGGTCGTAAATTAGTTTTCCATCCAATTATATAAAGATAAAGATATAGGGAGTTCCATAGAAAAAAATAACGATTTTTATCTTTCAAAATTGACATTTTTCAAGGGTCGTAAAAATGCGTTATAACATTTTGTACAATGTTAAGCAACTCAATATGTTACTCTGTGCAAAAATAGTGCCAAGTTTCAAACCTGTACCAACTCGTAGCTTATTTTTAACTTATAACAACTGTCCACATTTGAAGAAAATTTGTTTAATATTTAGTTTACTCAAAAAGTACTAAAATTTGCTTAGCAATATATCTACAAAGTATACCTTAAACAGTGTGTAGAATCCAAAAATGTGTAGTTTGGCTCACTACACGCGAAATCACACTTAATTTTTTTTTCATGGAAGCGAGATATGAATTTTCAATTGTTTTTTTTTTTAATTTTCTGAGGTGTTTTGACGTTTTAGAGTATACTTCGAGTTCTAATTGATCGATTTGACCAAACAAGCACTTAAATCAAAGGTAATTGAGCCCTCTACAACTTTCTCTTGTACATTTTTGGTATCGGCTCAGTAGTTCGATACTGGCGATTTTATGAAGTTGAAAAAGTCCTTTTTTTTACAAAAATCGAGGTCGAAAATTTACATATCTATCTGGGAAAGATAGAAATCGAGAAGATAAGTCCAGTTTGATTTATTTTACGTATAGATTATACTTAAAGAAACAAAATAAGCTGCTGTTGATAAAAATCCATAAATAAATGGCGAAGTTATGAATTTTTCAGTGGAAGACCAAAATTCAGTTTTACGTTTTTTCTTCATTTTATTGAATTATAAAATTTAATATTGAACATTAAATATTAAAATTAAATTATATATTGAATAATAAACAATAAATATTGAACATTGAAAAAATTGAAAGTTTTATTTTGTTGTAAAAAGCATAGGTTTAAAAAAATTCTGGCTCCTTCTTTGTTTTTTGTTGCTTTCGTATTTCGTTTCTCGTATGAGGGACCAAATGTAATCACCCATCGTGGCTGCATCCCAGAAGCCGTGATACCGCCGCTCCATAGCCTTCATTTGCTGGTGAAAACGTTCTCCGTGCTCATCACTTACGTCGCCCAGATTGTGCGGGTTATTTACGCACTCGAACTCTCTACTTCTTTCACTCATTTTACACTTTTTATTAACTAAATAAAACCATGATAAAAATACCTTGTTGAAATATCAAAAAATATCAGTAAAATGTCAAGTGCTATGCTAACACGAGAAACAAAAGAATTCACGTTTGCGGAGTCATGTCAAATTAAATTTTGAATAATGTTTTTGGTGGAAAAAGTACGTAAAAAACTCAAAAAATTTCAATCATGCACTTTATTTAGGTTTTCATTAAAGAATAAACATATTACAAAATAAAATAAAAAAAATAAACAAAAATCGTCAAAAAGCTGAATTTTGGTCTTCCACTAAAAAAGTCATAACTTCGCCATTTTTCCATGTATTTTTATCAACATTAGCTTGTTTATTTTGTAAAAATGTCAGCTTCACGAAAAAAATTCAAACTAGAGTTATCTGTCTCAATTTTTGCCATAAAAACGAATTTTTTAAGTTATTAAAATTGCTAGCGTCAAAATACTTATCAGATATCAAAAGTATGTAAAAGAAAGTTTTAGAGGGCTCAAATACCTCCAATTTAAGGGCTTGTTTGACCAAATCCATCAATTAGATTTCAAGCTATACTTAAAAACGTCAAAACACCTCCGAAAATTGAAAAAAAAACAATTGAAAATTCATATTTCAAAAACGCTTCCATAAAAAAAGTGTTATTAAATATTAATATAATTTACATAAAATAGATTCGATCTCAGATAAAAAAAAAATGTATATATCGTACAACAATAACATATCTTTAACAAAGAATTTTATTTATTTATTTATTTATTTATCTAGTTTATTGTTGGTCCCAAATTGGTTGCTTGAATTTCTGCCACTGTTCAATTGTTAAAAATAATGATTAGTTTTATAATTTTTTCTATTGCGTTCTATGATAGTGAGTATGCTTAATTTAACAGTGCTGGAATGTCATTGATCGGAAAATTGCCTAACTCAACAAGTACCTAATTTGTTTATAAGTATTCAGAATAAAAAAAATCGATTTTTTTAACACGATTATTATTTTTTTTATCCTTATTAATTATAATTTTCTTATTATAACAGTTACACAAAAAACATAGTACCTATTATAATTTATGATCGTAGACTTAAATAGAGACATCACCTTGAAAAACAGTTGAATGAGACGTTCAACTTTGCACCTAAACGCCGAAAATTACAATTTTAAAAAATTAATCTTCTATTTTTAAAATTGAGTCAGAACTTTCGATTTTAAATTATGTAAGTTACAATGTTTATTTTTGCTATAAACGATCGAACCTTGAATCGTCAGCGTTTCAATTTATTTTATTGAAAATCTATCGACGAATAAATAAAAAAAAATCGCAGCGAATCTTTTAATCGGCAAACATTTTTTTGGCGGTAAATATTTATAATAAGAGATTAAAATAAAATTTTAGGGTATACAGAGACTTTATGTTATTGAAGGAAATGTCTAAACTAATTACTAAAAAGTGTTTATGGGTATTTTTTATTTTTGGTTGTGATTCTGCACTAATGCAAGAATTTTAAGAAATCATACATTTTGAAAATTAGAGCTTCACGGAAGATAGCTTCACGGAGGTTAGGATTTCGTATGTTTTTTTAAACATCCCTTTGATATTTGAAATAAGTTATTGTATCTTTTGACACCTTAATATTTTTAAAAAATACAATTGTACATAAAATATTTATAAAAAAAACTACTTACTGAGATATTACACTTCACGGTGGATAGGTTTTTAAATGGCAAATTAATGAACTTAAACTTTTAATTATTAAACAGCAACACTCTCATCTGCATGTAAATTCTAACTGACCTTCAGGTATCACATGCATCTATAATGTCGTAAACAGAGGTTTTTGCTTATTTGAAATGATTAAAGCGCCATCCGTTGCATAAAATTTAAAGCAAAAACAGATTCACGGAGGATAGAATCAATTTCTGTAACACCTACATAAATGGTTATAAAAATTATTTCTTTTAATTTTTAATAATATTTTATATTTGATTCGATTAATTCGATTTAATTTACTTAGTGAACTAATATTTTTAGTATGCTTTTACTACCCCAGATATTTGAAAACATATAGGTTAACCTAGAAAGAGTAACAGTAACGGAGGATAGGTTTTAGACTTTTAAAACATTGTAAAAAATAATTAATTGCGGTTAAAAATCTGGAAGCTGAGCTCTAATATCTACTTAATTATAAAAGATCAAAACACAATAAAAGTGTAGGTCAAGTTTTTTTAAATATTACACAAATATATAATTTTATTTAATATTTCGTGCGGAAGATTCAAATTGCATGGGTTTTTTCTTAAACAAAACTAAAATTAAACGTTAGACTTAAACGTGGGCATACCTAAAAATATAGTTTGTAACTGTATTTTGAAAATTTGCCAAAAATTGCGGCTTCGCAAAGCTTTCTCACCTTTCTGGTCGATTAGTCACAGTTAAATTCATTAATTCAATTATTTAACAATCAATTTTCAATTTGAGTACCCAAGTAACACCAAAGCTCTTATTGCGATCCCCAAGATCGCTTTAACTGCACAATAAAACTTAAATAAAACCAAATGATTTTCTTCTTTCTAAGAAAGAAAATTTGTCCTGCTACAAAAGCATACCTTACCTTCAAAAACATTAAACAAATTAATTAAATTTCATTTATTTAAAAAGAGTTTGAATGATTCCAACTCCACTGTGAAAGTACATACAACACGCCACAACACAACACAACCGGCAAAATGTATATTAGAAATACTAGAATTATAATATTATATCACTGCCCCTAGAAAATGGCGAATTGCAAGTTGCAATGATACAAAACGTACTAAACACGTGTGTCGCAAACGGTGTGAGCTACCAGATTTTGTTGTAAAATTGAC